TTTTTCAATTTGATGTTCCTCCTTCCCTCTGTGAAGCCTGAAGTCAACTAAAGGGCTAATGATAAATATCATAAAGCCTGCCATTTGATATAAATAAATAAATAAGTATTCCTAAAAGCGGAAGTAAAAATATAGCTCTAACAACATTTGGTTTGGAGAAAAAAAGTTTTACCGACAATTCATTAATTAGATGGCCTTCAACTCTCTCTCTCTCTCTCTCATGAACAGGTATTATCGATCATTGAACTCCCACGCTCACACATTGCGAGGACACCGACACTGCAATTAGTCGCTAAGCCGAGAGAGGGAGAGAGAGAGTCAATCATTTACCGACTAGCCCAACCCATAGAGGTAAATTTATTAATATTAATAAAAATAATCGTTTTCCCTATTCATCTTCCTTTTTCCTTCTTCTTCTTCTTCTTTGAGACTAAGTAGCTGCAAATTCAATTAAGAGCAAATGGAAGATTGGAAAAAGAATTCAAAAGAGCCTCTTTCACTGTGTGCGTGTAAAGTTTCCATTTAGATGATGGTCATCTTTTCATACCACTAGCTCATCTGTGCCTATATGGTAAAGAGGATCTATGCCATGAAATTAGACTTCAAATTGGATCAATTTTCACCATGGCCAATATCGCAGGAGGTATGCACGAAGTGACATTAGAGTGAGAGGTAGAAGCGAATAAGATCAAAACGCAGCACGTGGACTCGAAGGCGCGACTGCGGGGAAGCAATTTTTCTATATGATCAAGCCAACACTCGGGTAATACAAAAATTACAAAAGTGATCCCAACTGGCTAAGCCATGAGGTGGGTTGGCAAAGCTGATTTTACCGACCGCCTTCATTGCAAATAATTTCAAATAGCGCAACAATTTTAGATGGCAGAATGGATTTCTTGGAATATTGTCATCTTTCGAAAAAAAACCGAAATGACTTATAGAATGACGCCTATATTGACTCAAGTTCACTGCCGTGATATTTAATTGCTTCTCCATCACTAATGATAGAAACACGGGGTGTGTGATAGACTTACCTCCACGTGGTGCATCCTTCCCCTCTGTGAAGCCTGAAGTCAACTAAATGGGCTAATGATAACCATCAAAACGCCTATCATTTGATACAAATAAACAAATAAATGATAGAAACACCGTTCCTAAGGCCGTCAATAAAAAACAATTTGCGATTTTCTCTTATGGCGTCAAGAATGGAGAAATATGGTTGAGACATCACCTGCCAAAATGTCGTCCTCATCACAAACATCCAATCCAATGCGCTGAGTAGTGGACAAAATAATGGCGAGTCAAATGGGATCGAACCTCCTAATTAATAGTCCGAAGTATTTAATGCCCAATTTCATCAAAAGTAATCGAATGCATTAAATGACTATATATATATATATATATATATTGACATGAGAAAATTGTGTAGTGAACAAATATGGATTAGTTGACAATTTTTCAAATCCCCAAACCCATATTCAGCTGGAAAGAAGAAAAAATGCGAGGTCTCGTTTCTAAAGCGAAAAATCGTTACGTTGCAAACAATTAGAACAAATAGATTTAGGATTAATCATTAGATCGTCAATGGAGAATTTTTAATACTTTCACCATAACAAATATATGGAATTACAGGAAAATAATAAATCTTAATCAAATCAATACCCAATTTCGTACTGGTATTTCAGACACAGAAAGCGGTGATTAAGTGACCCCATGAAGCGATGGAAATGTGATTTAGACAATTAGATACACAAAAAAAGAGCGACTCACCTTGTCAGTTTGACACTCCGCGTCAATAGGGCATTTCTTCGATTGATCCGCCTGACGAAGAGTTTTCAGCTCTGTTTGAAGACTCTCTTCCCTAAAAAAAACAAATTTTTTGTATAAAAGAAAAACAACCTTTACAATCCACAATTAAAACGCAAACAAGGTTAACTGTTGGGGGCAAGTGTGACAAAGTGGTACCCATTTACACCCCTTGAATGTGCAACTGACAGTTGAGATTAGCCACTTCAAAAAAAGAGGCGCAGACGGCAGAAGATAATTGCTCTCGAGTTTGAAGTGCCACTCATTGTATTCACAAACTTGAATTCATGAATAAAAAACCGACTCCTGGAAATCGGTGAAGTATGTACTTTACAGGAAAAGACCATTTACTCTCCTGACCCACAATTTTCCGTTATTTAACAATCCCAGGAGAGTTAACCATCTCAGGAATAAGGTTTGAAGCTTAATTTTAGAGCCACATCGGTTAGCATGCATAGGAGTTAGTCAAGTGCATTCTATTTAAACATAATTAAATGTGCGTGAATACAGGGACTTGAGATAAGAAACAACGAAGCCACAAACACTTAAATATGGTTAATAGTTTAGCAAATATTTACAAAGAAAAAAAAATAAGGAGTACATTTACGTTTAAGTAGTCACAATTAAACGCTTTACTGTCACGAGAAATTGTCGAATTTCAGGAAAAAAATTTTTCCCCATAGCTAAATTCTTCCTCGTGCTTTTGCTCTAATCTCATTGGTCGAAAAGACGAAAAAAGTAACCTTCACACATTCTTAACAAATTTTTGCTCTTCAGGTTCTTCCCCCCCCCTCACCCACACCCCCAGTTGACAAATAAATCAATAAGGAAAGATTAGACTAGCCAACCTTAAAAGATGGTCAGCGCTTTTTGAGGAATAAGATATTCCTCGATAGGATAACAAAGAAAGATTAATTTCAAGACACTTACTACATTACTAAAATCTGTAATATAGTACTAAATTACTAAAATCGGGGTGCGCGGTAGATTTAACTCCACGTGGTGCACCCTGCGCAACATTTTCTCATACGGCAAAAAAGTCTAAACAGGCAGTTGACTTCTGACTTCAAACTACCATGGCCCAACTGCATGTCATATTCGACCCCTT